CTAATGCCATTCAATTTGTTTTTCTTTAATTGGGGTAAAATATACATAATATTTACCATTTTCAAGGGTGAAGTTCAATGGCATTGACTACATCTGTATGGTTTTGCAACTGTCAGCAGCATCCACCTGCCAAACTTTTTCAGCCTCCCAAACTGAAACTATAGGCCCCTTGCTCCCTTCCCCAGCCTGGTAACCCCCTGGTGATGTACTTCCGGTCTATGAATTTGACTATTCCAGGCACTTCATGTAGGTGGAGCCATATGATATTGGCCCTTTTATTTTAGACTTCTTTTACTTACAATGTCTTTCTTCATGTCTTTTAGGGACATCTGTACTGTAATGTGTATCAGAATTTCATTCCTTTCGAAGGCTGAATAATATTCCATTGTGTGTAAAAATGGGTTATGTATCCATCCATCGGTAGCCATTCGTCTTGGCTATGACGAATAATGTGGCTGTGAACACTGGTGTGCAAATCTCTGTGCGAGTCTCTGATTTCCATTCTCTGGGCGTATACCCAGAACTGGAACTGCTGGAGCATGTGGTTATTCAAGGTTTAATTTTTTGTTTAGTTTTAGTACCAGAGATCGAACTTGGGACCTTGTGCTTGCAAGGCAGGCAGGTGAGGCACTGAGCTAAATCCCAGTCTTCAAGGTTTAACTTTTTGAGGATGGGCTAGGCTAGCTCATCTTCAGAGGTTGGCACATCGTGCATAGCTGGCAGCAGTGCATAGTGGTTTCAGTTTTCCACATTCTCTTTGACAGGTATCTTGCTTTTGCTTTTGATGATAGACATCCTAATGTGTATCAAGTGATATCTCATTAAGGTTTTGTTTGCTTGGTTGGTTGGTTTGAGACAGGGTCTCACTATATAGTTGAGACTGACCTGGAACTCACTGTGTAGCCAAGGCTGGTCTCGAACTCACAGTGATCCTCCTGCCTCAGCCTACTGAGTGCTGGAATTAGTGTGGCGCCACCACACCTGGCTCATTGTGGTTTTGATCTGTGTTTCTCTAATGATTTGTAGCACTGAGTACTGTTCTATGTGCTTATTGGCCATTTGCATATATCCTTCGGAGAAAGATCTGTCCAAATCCTTTGTCTGTTTTTTTTAAATAAACTAAGTATTTTATTAAAATGTAAACTACAGAATATGGAACTTAATTTCAATCAATACAGGGATATTAATTCTTTATACACAGATATCATGTATACAGTGGTATTGCTGGTCATTTCCATGAATTGATAAAATGGACAGGAAGGTGACCAAATCATTTTGGTTTGTCCAAGACCATCCAGGTTTTAGTCTTATTATCTTGGGAAACCTCTCAGTTCTAGGAAATCTGGAATATCTGATAATCTTAGCACCTTTGTCTATTTTTAAATGGTTGTTGAGTTGTGGAAGTTTTTTGTTCACTCATTCTTAATTATTATGACTTTATGTTTTTATATCTAACAGAGGACATGCCTCCACCACACATACTTTTCTGTTGTTTTTCTTCAAAAGTGATTTGGGCCCGGTATGGATTGTTAGGATTTTGATTAGAATTACAGAATATATGCACCAATTTGAGAGAACTGATATAATTTTTATATTGAATCCCTCTGTTATGAACATATTATCTCTACATTTATTAGTTTTTCAGTGTCTTTCAATAAAGTTCTCCATAAAAGGATTTCATGTTGGTTAGATTTATTTCTAAATTTGATAATTATAAGTACCCTTATAGGTGGGTATCTTCTAAAATTACATTTTCTGTGACTGGTAAATAGGAATGCAATTGACTTTTACATAGTGATTTTGTATCCAGAAACCTTTCTGACTCTATTACTGATTTTAATAATTTATTTGTAAATAATGTTGGGTTTTCTATGAAATCATAAAATCTGCAGTTTTCCCTTCCCTTCCAGTGTGTGTGTGTGTGTGTGTGTGTGTGTGTGCGTGTGTGTGTGGTGCTGGGAAGCAGGCCTCAAGCATGGTAGGCAAGCACTTCCCATGGTGCAAGACCCTCCAGCCCTTCATATGCATTTTTGTTTGCTTCATTTTTCTTGGTCCACTATACAGTTTGACATAATATAATAACAAACTTCTCAGGCCTTGCTCTTAACTGTAAGGGGAATACTTTCAGCATTTCACTATTTAGTATGGTATAGGTTTTTGTTTTTGTTCTTTTGGGTACCGGGGATTGAACTCAGGTCCTTGCGCTTGCAAGGCAGGCCACCGAACCACTGAGCTAAATCCCCGGCCCATGGTATAGGTTTTTGTTGGGTTTTTCTGCTATTAAATCTTGCTGTGTTGCCCTGGTGTCTCCCAAACTCCTTGGCTGAAATGATCTGCCTGCCTCAGCCTCCCAAGTTGTATGACTGTGTGTCTGGCTTCTTAGTGAGGATTTGTGGTTTGATAGGGCATGGATTTGACTTATACTGACCACAGAGACCGTGTGCTAAGTGAACAGTCAGTTCCTGCATGTTTTGACAAGGGCTGAACAAACTTCCATGCAATGGACAAGACAGGAAATATCTTAGGTTTTGTGTGGTACTTAGGTCTCTGCATTAGTCAGTGTTTCCCAGAGAAACAGAACCAAGCAATAGATACAGATGCAGATGGAGATAGAGATGGAGATAGAGATAGAGGTGTTGGTGGATTTATAAAGACTGAGAAGTTCCACAATCTGTCATCCACAAGCTGGAGACTTGAAAGATGGTGACATGCATTCCAGCCTGAGTCCAAAGGCCTAAGAACCAGGAGTGTCACTGATATAAATCCCAGGCCTAGCACCAGAGAGCAATGTCCAACTCAGTCAATAGGGCAGAAAATCTCCTTCCTTCTCTTCCTCCTCTTGCTCCTCCTTCTTGTTTTTTGTTTTGTTTTGTCTTTAGTGCAAGACAGTGAAGCCAGGGCCTGTATGTGCTAAGCCCACCTCTGTTTGTTCTAGTCAAGCCTTCAATAGATTAGGTGCTGCCCACCCCAAATGGGAAGAGCCACGGATTTTACACAGACCACTCATTCACAGGCTTATCTCAGCCCCAAACTCCTTGCAGACTCGCTCAGATATGATGTTTAACCAAATATCTGGGTACCTTGTGACCCAGTCATGTTGATGCACAAAAAAATTAACCATCACGTGTATGTCCTCCTTCTCTTCCTCCTCCTCTTCTTCCTCTTCCTCCTCCCTTTTCTTCTTCACACCTCTTTAAAAATGTAAATTTATTCTTGGCTCATAGGCTGTACAAAAGTATTTGCCAATCACTGATTTAGACATAGATAATCTCCCAATATCTTCATCCCGATGAAGTTTGTTGCTTCCTGCCGTAAATTGTTGCCTGTGTGCTGAAGTAAATAATGCGTGCAAATCAAAGGTCAGACACACAGTTGCTAGCTATTAGGAGTCCATGCTGCCCCACTGTCCCCATCAGACTGGGTGCCTTTGGAAATGAGAACCAACCTGGCACACAGGGTCAAGTGCCCATGCCTGGGCATTGTGACTATAGTAGCTACAGTGAGACTTGCTCTCTCTTGCTGCCCTCTCCTGGCTGCCTGTTTTTGAGGATCAGATGGGAATCCCACAGGAATTCATGTGGTTCACGAAATGCTCAGTTCTGGTTGCTGGTCTGTAGACTTGTCCAAATCTGTTCCAATGGATAGTACTAGAACAATCTTAGTGCTGCTTATCATGGCCAGGTGTACCTATAGGGTCCTAAGATGTTTGGGTGTAGGTATAGCATAAAAAGAAAAGTTATCACATATTTGTTGGGGCTCAGAAAGTAAGAGACCTCAAAGCATGTGCTGAGTGCTTTAAACTCAAGAGAGCCAAAGTCTCTCCAGCCTTTTCCTGTGCTCCTTTCTCTTACTCCTTTTGGGGGGTTATTGTTGTTTTTGCTTGGTTTGGGGTTTTTTGTTGTTGTTGTTTTTTGTTTTTGAGATAGGGTCTTGCTGTGTAGTTTTTGCTGGCCTTGAACTCACTGTGTAGCCAAGGCTGGCCTCAAACCCAGGCAATCCTCCTGCCTCAGCCTTCCAAGTGCTGGGATTACCAGTGTGTACACCACACCCAACTTCTGTCACTGCTCTTTCTCCCCCTAGTGTGCAGGGAGAGGCTTTCTCTGAATGTCCCTTATCTGGCTAAAGATAGAAAATCCTCCAGAAAGGAATGCAACTGTGGCTAGTCTCCTCCCTGGGAATCTTATTAGCCAGGAAAGATGAACTATGTCCCAGGAGAAGAGACTGAAGGAGGACTCCACAGACTTTCTCCAGCGCTGCCCCACTGGCTCTGGTGCTTACTCTTTTAAGGGCTGCTTGTTTCTGGAGAGAAACTTCATCTGAATAACAAGACAACCTTTGTTCACCGTGCACTTTCTCCCCTCACCTCCTGTAACTGGTTACTTCTTGCAGGAAAATCTCCAAGGCTCCTGTTCCCCTCTGTCGCTCAGGATATTATATAAGCTTCAACTATCTGGCCCTTCTTTGAGCCTCTCATTTTGTCAGGCCCCCGTGCTTGTAATACATGCATTATCTTTTCTTCTGTTAATCCATCGTCTTTTTTATTGAATTTTCAGAGGAGAAGGAAAATATTCTTCTCCCCTGCACAGTGGACATTTCCTAGGTGCTAAATATTGATAAACATGTTATTAATTCAACTCGGTTTTTTTTTTTTTATACCGGGATTGAGGATTGAACTCTGGATCTTGCACTTGCTGCTTGTGAGGTAGGCGTTATGCCGCTGAGCTAAATCCCAGCTCTCAACTCATTCTTATGATGACTGCTTAAACGGACAGGGGCAGGGATATCCCTTGACAGCTCAGTACTTCCTTTGCACAGTTGATAAAGTTGAGACTCAGAGATTAAGGGAGGTGTCCAAAGTCCATGGGTATAGTTAGCAGAGCTGGAGCTTGGAGCTCATTCCACATTTAGGACGCAAGACATGTGTTCTTAAACTGCTACCTGAGGTTGCCAGTCTACTTCAACGGAAATGAGGTGCACCCACAAATATGCATCTTTAACAGACTTCTGACGACGGTGTCCCGGAGAGCTACACTTCGAGAGAGATGTAAGAGGATGTAACAGAGTGAGAGCGGTGCCTCTGGAAAATAGAAACGGAGCTGTTTCCCACAGGAAAGAGAGGTTAGTCAACAACAGAAGCCCCACAGGGGTGGGGGTCACAGGGCTGGGCTCACCCTCCTTTGAATACTCAGGTGATCAGAAGAAAGTGACAAAATCCAAATATATCTCTTCCTGTCCCTCAGACCTTCCTACCCCCACCGAAGCCCTGGAGAAGTGCAACTCAGTTGAAGTTGCTAAGGAGATATAACATCCCCTGCTGACAGACCCCTGAGCAAATCTGTACTGGTGATTTGATAATTCTCAAAATCTAATGGAACTTTTAGCTGTTCTGAGAAATAATTTCATATCTTAAATGAAAATGCCTCCTGAGCTCTTGGCAAATCCCCTTCCTTTTTAAAAATAAGTCAGACCCATGCTCAGGCTGTCAGAGCTATATGTGTTTAGGGCTTGCTGAGCAGGAACAAAAAGAAAAAGAATTAGTTATAATCTAAATACAATGAATCTGCAATGAAACGGAATTGTCTGGGCTACAATCATTTCCTGGCACGCTCTGGCTCCCAGAAGGGAATCAATGTTTGGCAAGAATGGGATGGAAACTTCTACCCACCTGGTGGCCAATGTTTTCTTGAACTTCTGTGTCTTGCTTTGGCTCCTGGGAAGGGTGGGACATGATCCACAGAGCAGGGAGGACACATAGCTGTGAGGGCCAGCCAGTGTCAGCGCTTAGAGGAGAAATACAGTGGGGAAAGAGCAAGAAGATGCTGGGCATTGGTCTGGCTTGTTTGACTAACATGATTTAATCTTCCCACAACCCAGGGAGGTGTTGAGATTATATCTTTATTTGACAAACAGAAAATCTGAAGTACAAATACACAAAGTACAGTAATGTCTCGCTTCACTAACCCTTCTGTTTGCAATCAGTTCGGTTTGCAAACAAAAGCGTTCGGCAAAATTTTGCTTCCAGTGCTCACTTTAGCAGCACATATACTAAAATTTGGCCTCTGTTTGCAAACTCTGCATAAGGTGACAAACATGACCACAGCCATCATCCCCACACAAACACAAATACAGCCCTCTTCCCCCAAATCATGAAATAAATTAACTTTGTAAAACCAGAGCACCACTGTCACTGCCCAGGACCACGCACTTAAGAAGAGGTACTCAGAACCCAGGTCTGGAGAGTTACTCAATGGTAGCGCGCTAACCTCACAGGTTCAGGGCCCTGGGGTTCAAATCCCAGCATCCAAAAGGAAAGCCACTGGGCCTTGGGTCCCAGAATACTATAAATACAATGTTCTGTTTCTGTAAAAAAGGATTCTATATGTTAAGCAATAATCCTAGCACTTTTTTTTTTACAGTCCCCTGGGAACTGAACTCAGGACCCTGCACTTGCCAAGAAGGCACAGCACCACTGAGTTACATCCCAAGCCCATCCTAGCACTTTTTAAAGTGTTCATCAGGCCTGTGGCATCAGGCCCTTGGGATGGGGTATTTGTAGTCACAGGAGTTCCATCCATCATTTGGTAATAAACATAAGTAACCTAAGAAGACAGTCAAATTAAGAAGGAAGAATACCCTTGTGCTACAGAAGTTTGTAATCCAACTGGGGAAATGAAATACAGTAGTATTTAGGAAAAGCCATCAAACATATTAATAACCCACATGTCACAAGGACATGGTCTCTAGATCTGATCATACCAACTGCTAAATGTGTAGCCTTAGAGGAAATTATTTCACATCATTTGGGGCTCAGGGTCCTCACTGGAGAAATGGAGACATTACTGCTCAAAGGGTTTCATCGTTAAGATTTGGTATTTGGTAGATACTTCATAAATGGCACATGGGATCCTGGGATAATAGAGGAAGAGAATGAAGTGAAGGGATAGAAGTCCCTTCTGGAACTAACATTGGAATTAAGCTTTAATGTGGGGAGGGCCCTGAACCTGCAGAGAGGAAGCAGTGTTCTAGCTGCTTCCATGACATGATGGAAAAGCCAACTTGAATCACCTGAAATATAAATGGAATTTGTTGACCCACAGAATTAAAAAAGGCAGAGGGAGGGCAAGATTTAGATGTGGTCTTGTCTAGTGATTCATAACATCATCATAGCTCTGGCTGTAGTTCCTTCAGTTGGTGCTCATCTGTATGCCCATTTATGGCACCAGTTTTGCTTATCATGGTAAAATAGCTGGGCCAGCCCCAGGCCTCACATCCAAAATCCATACTCACCTTTTGTCCACCATTATCAGGAGAAGTCCTGAGAGTCATTCTGATTGGCTCAGCTAGGTTCACATCAACCAATCCCTGCACCAAGGCACTGGAATTCACCGATTGGTTTAGCTTCAGTTATATATTTCATCCCTGGAGCCCAGAGTAGACTCCAGTTCTTTGGAAGCACATGGGTTCCCCAAATGGAAACTGAGCTCTTGAGGAACTGGGACTGGGCAGGGAGATGACTGGTGTGATCACAACAGGGAAATTGCTTTTGTAAAATAAAAAGGCAGGAAGGAGTAAGTTGCATATGAGAGTGACCCACAGGTTGTTTGGCTGGTGCAATAGGACATTCTGGGTCCTTCTGGGTTGTTTTGTTTTGTTTTGTTTGGTACTGGGGATCAGACTCAGGACCTTAAGCTTGGGAAGCAGGCTGTGGAACCACCGAGCTAAATCCCGGCCCAGAATGTCCTTTGTTTTTCAAAGCGAGTTGTGAGAAACAGAGTGTGGGGTTGAGGCGGACACTGCAAGGGGCCATCCTAACTCAGGGTTTGGCACGTTTTTAGTGAAATGTTTACCAGCACACTCAGGAAATAAGCTGGTTTCCTCTTATTATAGAGGCTAATTCTTTGCCCCTTAAGTGCAGTTTTTACTCTGCCTGAAACTGTTGGGACTAGAAGGGAGCCCACAGTTACTGAGAGTCCACTACATGCTGATTCAGAACTAAAGACTTTCTACACTTTCTCGTCTAATGCTCCCAGTCTCTCTGAGACAGAAGCCATTACCTCATTTTACAGATTAGGAAGGAAAGAAAGGGTAAGTGACTTGTCCAGAGTCACTCTACTCATAAGTGAGCAAAGGGGATTTTCAAGCCTTCAGAGCTATTGACTTCAAAGCTCCCAAGCAGGTAACCATGTTGATATTTTGCCCAGGACATGAGGATTCCTCTGTTCTGTGTGTCATATCAAGCACCCTTCTGCAGTGCATGGTGTCACCTGCTTCGAAGCACAAATTTGTTCTCAGCTATGCTTATGCCTGGGGACACAGATGAGTGCGGGAGTCTGGTGGCTGAGCTCTGCTCTTGAGCAGGGCCCTGTTTGTACCTGCACCACTGGGACTTCAGACAGGAAGTCAGATCTGGGAGGACAAGATGGGCACCCACTGAGCAACACTGTGGTTCTGGATGTTGTACTGTCCTCCTCCTCCACCACCCTTTTGGCAGCAGCTACTAATATGTGTGATGTACCAGGTGCTCTCTTGGCACTTCCTGTATATTCTGTCCTGGAGCCATCACAGAGCCTCCATGTTTTATAGATGAGAAAACCAAGGACAGACATGAAGGCTGAGGCCATAGCCCATGAGGTGTGTACTGTCAGCCCTCCCAGAGGGACTTCACATAAGGCTAGCGAGTAGCTGAGTCAGGACTCAAGGTCAAGTTCTGTGTGACTCTAGAGGCTGAGTTTAGCAATTGCACTTTGTGCAATTGTTAAGAAAAACCTACACAGAAGTGATTTGGCCTTGTGTATCTCTGCCTGGAGAGAATTTCCAGTATGCTCGCAGGAAAGTTCTTTCTTGGAATAAGCACAGGTCTCTTCCTGCATGATCTGTGTAGACTGATGTCATAGCCCCTCTCCCCAACTCCCTACTTCTTCGCCTTCCTCAAAATACCTGACTTGGGTCTGAGCCAGCCACTTCTGGTGTGCGTTCGTTTCCCTGAACCTGCGGCAAGTTGAGGGAGAGTTTTCTGGAACCTCAGCCACATCACCCTCACCACGATGCTGATATAGACAGTAAGCCTCTTATTTTTTAAGGTCACAGATGACAAATCACAGAGCCTCAGAATGGCAAAGGCTCAGGTGAGCAATCACAAGTTCTAAACAACTGCTGCAGGAGAAGGTGAGTGCAGGGAAGTGGATGCCCCCCTCTTCTTTAGGTTCTGTTTTTAGCTGTGTTTTTCAGAGCAAGTAGGTGCCATGGTGATAGGAGCCATAGAAATAGACGGAGCACACCTCTCAGCACGGGGCTGCAGAGCCGTTCCCATGGAAATGCACTAGGGAGAGCCCAGGGACTCTGCTCCCAGGCCTGCCAGCTGCGCACAGGGAAGAAGGTCCCTGGGAAATGGCCCCTGGAGGCTTCCCACTGCCTCTCTGGGATTGTCTGGGCTCCATGAGTGCACACCCTCCCCACTAGGACACGCTTGGACCTTCTCTCTGAGTCCTCCCAGGGAACTCACTTTACTATTGCCCAGTGCAACAAACATCTCACCCCAGGGTGACCCTAAAAACTAACCCTGCTAGGTTTCCTGTCCACACAGTGGGGAACATGAGTCCCCCATCCTTCCTGACTATGGAACTGTCACTAATTTAAGCAATGGCAATAAAGAATTGACTGGGCAGGGACTATGTACTGAACATTTGGTGCTCAGGAATACTCATAAAGGGAAATCTCAGAAGCTCTAAGTCAGTAAGCCAAGCAAGGTGGCTGTAACTCTCCCTGGTCACCTGGTTTTGAGTTTGTGAAATCTCAGGCAGTGCAGAGCCAAGGCCCAGCCTTAACTGTTCTTGGATGCAACTTTAGAGGAACTTTTGAAACAGTAGCTTAGGTCTACACCATAATCCCTACAGAAATACCTCTGCAAGGCTGTCGACAGATGTATAAATGGACTTGGTCAGAGCTTAGCTCATTTTTGTGTGGTTTTATCATATGTCTTTCATATGAAATATAAACCCATATATACATACATCTTTTAAACCTAATCTTGTATTAGCCCAAGAAGGAGATGATTAAGGTTAAAGGTGGGCTCTATTTTACACACACATACATGCACACATGCACTGGATGATCAAAAA